TGCAGCGCTCTGACGGCGGAACCGAAAGTGGAGCTTAGTAAAGCTGCATGTTATTTTTTTGGCCTATGTTTCAAAGACAGGGTCTCACTTTGTCACCCAGGCTTCAGTGGAGTCCTCCTGCCTCAGCCTCCCAAGTAGCTGGGACTACAGGCACACCACCACATCTGGTCATTTTTTTTTTTTTTTAATTTTTAATTTTTTAGAAACGGGATCTTGCTACATAGCCCAGGCTGGTCTTGAACTCCTGGACTCAAGCAGTTCTCTTGCCTTTGCCTCCCAAAGTGCTTCAACTACCGGTGTGAGCCTTCGCTCCCAGCCTTATTTTAACCTTTCAATTTTTTCTTTTCTTTTCTTCTTTTGGAGAAGGAGTTTCACTCTTGTTGCCCAGGCTGCAGTGCAGTGGTGTGATCTTGGCTCATGGTAACCTCCGCCTCCCGGGTTCAAACAATTCTCCTGCCTCAGCCTCCCCAGTAGCTGGGATTACAGGCATGCGCCACCATGCCCAGCTAATTTTATATTTTTGGTAGAGTGGGGGTTTCTCCATGTTTATCAGGCTGGTCTCAAACTCCCAACTTCAGGTGATCTGCCACCTCGGCCTCCCAAAGTGCTGGGATTACAGGTGTGAGCCACCACGCCTGGCCGGTTTTGACATTTTATGTGATTCCATTTATCTCTACCTCTTAGCATGTCAGTTATATATATATTTTTTTTAGTTTTTAAATTTTGCTCGTAACGAACATTATATTTTTTAAAACTTTTTGGGGCCGGGCGCGGAGGCTCACGCCTGAAATCTCAGCAGTTTGGGAGGCCGAGGAGGATGGATCCTGAGGTCAACAGATCCAGACCATCCTGGCCAACATGGTGAAACCCCGTCTCTACTAAAAATACAAAAAAAAAATTAGGTGCGCATGGTGGCGCATGCCTGTAGTCCCAGCTACTCAGGAGGCTGAGGCAGGAGAATTGCTTGAATCCCGGAGGCAGAGGTTGCAGTGAGCCAAGGTCAGGCCACTGCATTCCAGCCTGGCGCTTGGTGGAGTGAGACTCTGTCTCAAACAACAAAACAAAACAAAACAAAAAACAGATAACTTTTTGTATGGTATTGGTTGCCCTAGAATTTGCACTATCCATTTACAATGAATCCATTTCACAGGTAGTGCAAATGCTTTATAATAACAAAATATTTCTAATTCCCTAATCTTGTCTCTTTGTATCTTTGGTGTCATTCATTTCACTTATATATAAGCATATCTATCTGTCTATACATATAAGTATACATAAACACATACATTATTGCTATTATTATTTTGAACTGTTATGTTAGATAAACTAAGAGTAAGAAAAATAAAAGTATTTATTTTACCTTTCTTATTCTCCAAGGCCCTTCCTTTTTTTTAAAAAAACATGTACATCTGGCCGGGCGTGGTGGCTCAAGCCTGTAATCCCAGCACTTTGGGAGGCCGAGGCGGGTGGATCACGAGGTCGAGAGATCGAGACCATCCTGGTCAACATGGTGAAACCCCGTCTCTACTAAAAATACAAAAAATTAGCTGGGCATGGTGGTGTGTGCCTGTAATCCCAGCTACTCAGGAGGCTGAGGCAGGAGAATTGCTTGAACCCAGGAGGCGGAGGTTGTGGTGAGCCGAGATCGCGCCATTGCACTCCAGCCTGGGTAACAAGAGCGAAACTCCGCCTCGGGAAAAAAAAAAAAAATGTACATCTGAGTTTCTAATCTGTATCACTTTCCTTCTTTCTGAGAAACTTGTTTAAATATTTCTGGCATGACAGGTCTATTGGCAACAATGTCCCTCATTTTTTATCTGAAGAATGTCCTTTGTTATCCTTCACTTTTGAAGGATAATTTTTCCTTCTGTTAGAAAGTTATAGAAGGATAATTTTGCACAGTACTGAATTCTAGGTTGGTGACTTTTTCCTCTTAACACTTTAAATATTTCACTCCACTCTCTTCTTGCTTGCATGGTTTCTGAGGGGAAGTCGGATGTAATTCTTACTTTTGCTCTTCAGTAGGTAAGGTGGTTTATTTCCCTTTTTTTTTTTTTTTTTTTTGAGACGGAGTTTCGCTTTTGTTACCCAGGCTGGAGTGCAATGGCTTGATCTCGGCTCACCGCAACCTCCGCCTCCTGGGTTCAGGCAATTCTCCTACCTCGGCCTCCTGGGTAGCTGGGATTACAGGCACGCGCCACCATGCCCAGCTAATGTTTTGTATTTTTAGTAGAGATGGGGTTTCACCATGTTGACCAGGATGGTCTCGATCTCTTGACCTCGTGATCCACCCGCCTCGGCCTCCCAAAGTGCTGGGATTACAAGCTTGAGCCACCGCGCCCAGCCCTTTTTTTTTTTTTTTTAAGACAGACTCACTGTCACGCAGGCTGGAGTGCAGTGTGCAATCTTGACTCACTGCAACCTCTGCCTCTGGGTTTAAGAGATTCTCGTGCCTGACCCTCAAGTAGCTGGGATTACAGGCACATGCCACGACGCCGAACTAATTTTTGTATTTTTAGTAGAGACAGGGTTTCACCATGTTGGCCTGGCTGGTCTCGAACTCCCGACCTCAGGTGATCTGCCTGCCTTGGCCCACAAAATGCTGGAATTACAGGAATGTGCCATCACACCTGGCTAATATATATGTGTGTGTGTGTGTGTGTGAATATATATATATATATATATATATATATATATATACATATATATATAATTTTTTTTTTTTTTTTGAGACGGAGTTTTGCTTGTTACCCAGGCTGGAGTGCAATGGCGCAATCTTGACTCACCACAACCTCCGCCTCCTGGGTTCAGGCAATTCTCCTGCCTCAGCCTCCTGAGTAGCTGGGGTTACAGGCACGTGCCACCACACCCACCTAATTTTTGTATTTTTAGTAGAGACGGGGTTTCACCATGTTGACCAGGATGGTCTCGATTTCTTGACCTCGTGATCCACCCGCCTCGGCCTCCCAAAGTGCTGGGATTACAGGCTTGAGCCACCGCGCCCGGCATTTTTATATTTTTAGTAGAGATGTGGTTTCACCACATCGGCCAGGCGGGGATCAAACTCCTGACCTCAAGTGATCTGCCTGCCTTGTTTTCTTAAAGTGCTGGGATTACAGGTGTGAGCCACTGAGAGTGGCCAAGATTTTTATCTTTGATTTTCTGAAGTTTGACTACAATATGCCCAGGTGTCTTTTTTTTTTTTTTGGCATTTACTATGTTTGCTGTTCTCTGAATTTCTTGAATCTACAGTCTGATGTTTGACATTAATTTGGGGAAATTTTCAGTCGTTATCGCTTCTAGTATTTCTTCTGTTCGTTTCTTTCTTCTGATTTCCCATGATTCATCTTACATCTTTGCAGCTGTCTCTCAGTTCTTGGATATTTTGTCTTTTTTGCCTTTGCTTTTCAGTTTTCAAAGTTTCTACTTTCATATCCTCAAGCTCAGAGATTCTTTCCTCAGTCATATCCAGTGTAGTAATGAGTCCATTAAAGGCATTCTTCATTTCTATTCCAATGTTGTTAACTGCTAGCATTTCTTTTGATTCTTTCTTACAATTTCCATGTCTGCTATATTATCCATTTGTTCTTGGATGTTGTCTTTTTCCTTTAAAGCCTTTAGCACGTTAATCACAGTTAAAAAAAATTATTGGTCTGATTAATTCCAACATTCTTGCCATATCGGCATCTGGTTCTTGTGCTCGTTCTGTCTTTTCAAATTGTTTTTTGTCTTTTCATATGCCTTGTAATTATTTCTTGGTGGTGTGGACATGATGTGGTAAGAAAGGAAAAAAAAAGTCTTCTGTCTGGTCTTCACCTGGAGTAGGCTGAGGAGCAGAAGGAGGGCTTGGTCTTGCTGTCTCAGGTGAGGCAGAGGCAGAAGAGGTGGCAGGGGAGGCAGGCACACTTGGTATGACTTTGAAAAAAATCAACATACAATGGGACTCATGTAGTTTGAACCTATGTTGCTCAAGGGTACGTAATTTCTGTGTAAGCTTGTGATGCAGCAGTTTTAAGTCTAAAATCAGCAAAGATGGGTCGCCAGTCTTCCTTTACTATTAAAAAAATAGCACAAAACAGTTTAATTTTAAATGAGAAATTTTGTTTTTATTGAATAAAAACATGATTATGCAAACATGAAAATGTATTCAAATATTTGAATACATTAAATTTTTTTGCAACTTCATATGCTTTATATAAAAGTATTGAGTTCAAAGCAGTATTATGCTTGGTAATAATTACCAAAATTCTGATTTTGCTATACTTTTCATCAGGATTTCTGGGACACCTCCCAACTAAATATATTAAGATTCTACAAAAATAAAAGATGACAACAGTCTTCCAAATAAGAGCAATCTGGGGGTGAGAAACAGCAGGACACATTTAGGTTACAAAGTTTGTAAAACTTAATTCTTGGCCAGGCACGGTGGCTCACGTCTGTAATTTTAGCACTTTGGGAGGCCGAGGCGGGCGGATCACACTGAGGTCAGGAGTTTGAGACCAGCCCTGGCCAACATGGCGAAACCCCATGTCTACTAAAAATTCAAGAAGTAGCTGATGTGGTGGTGGACGCTTGTAATCCCAGCTACTTGGAAGGCTGAGGCAGGAAAACTGCTCACCTAGGAGGTGGAAGTTGCAGTGAGCTGAGATCGTGTCATTGCACTCCAGCTTGGGTGACAGAGCAAGAATGGATCTCAAAAAAAAAAAAAGAAAAAAAAATTCTTTTTTTTTTTTTTTTTTTTTTTTGAGACAGAGTTTCGCTCTTGTTACCCAGGCTGGAGTGCAATGGCGCGATCTCGGCTCACCGCAACCTCCGCCTCCTGGGTTCAGGCAATTCTCCTGCCTCAGCCTCCTGAGTAGCTGGGATTACAGGCACGCACCACCATGCCCAGCTATTTTTTTTGTATTTTTAGTAGAGACGGGGTTTCACCATGTTGACCAAGATGGTCTCGATCTCTTGACCTTGTGATCCACCCGCCTCGGCCTCCCAAAGTGCTGGGATTACAGGCTTGAGCCACCGCGCCCGGCCAGAAAAAAAAATTCTTATAATTCCCTTTCAAAAAGCACATTGACCATATTTTAAATACATATCTTAAATATCTAGAACAAATTTTTTCTCAATAGCTCCCCAATCCACAAAAATCCTAGTGAAATGGATAGCAAGTGTGTACTAAGAAGGTGCTATGAGCACTGGCTATATGTGCGACGTTCAGATTGCCACACTTCCTCTGAGTAAAGCAATTAGGACGGAAACGTGGACTAGAGCCTGTAGAATTTACACTGTTGTGAAGGTTGTTATGTAGGCATAAAATTGTCATATAATGTTTAAAGACCTTTTCCTGGCCCTACGATATTAATCATGCTCATTATAGAACAGTTGGGAAATAGAGAAAAATACAGAAAAGAAAATAATAACACTGTAATCTTACCACAGAGATATCTACTGGCAACATTTTGGTGTTCATTTCTTGTCTTTTTCCTAAGCATACAAAAATACAAATATATACATATAAAAACGCAGCTATATTGTTGACAGAATCTGGTATTTTGCTTTCTTCACTGATACAATGGTCTTGTGTTGCTCTCCCTGCCCTTTATATATTCTTTTTTAAAATTTATTTTATTTATTTTTTGTTTCTAAGATGGGGTTTCACCATGATGGCTAGGCTGGTCTTGAACTCCTGACCTCAGGTGATCCACCCACCTTGGCCTCCCAAAGTGCTAAGATTACAGGCATGAGCCACCGCACCCGGCCACTCCTTTACATATTCTTCATCAGAACTCACATTAATTGCCAAATAAATCTTTCATTGACGGAATATACGATAATGTAAAATAATTTAAATGGTATTTATGACTTTATAGCTTTTAAGGTTATATTTTGTATATTCATTTTTGTTATTTTGTGTAAAATTTTATACAGAATGCAAGTATGTATCACATTTTTCACAACAGATGCTTCTTTTTTTTTTTTTTGAGACGGAGTTTCGCTCTTGTTACCCAGGCTGGAGTGCAATGGCGCGATCTCGGCTCACTGCAACCTCCGCCTCCTGGGTTCAAGCAATTCTCCTGCCTCAGCCTCCCGAGTAGCTGGGATTACAGGCACGCGCCACCATGCCCAGCTAATTTTTTGTATTTTTAGTAGAGACGGGGTTTCACCATGTTGACCAGGATGGTCTCGATCTCTCGACCTTGTGATCCACCCGCCTCGGCCTCCCAAAGTGCTGGGATTACAGGCTTGAGCCACCGCGCCCGGCCTCAGATGCTTCTTGAGCATGCAGTTCACTAATTCAAGGCCTTGTTATGCTTCCCTAAGTCCTCAAAGGCTGGGAAGGGACAGCAGGTTAGACACTGCACACGGATATTACAGAAGGTCGCATTCCAAAACGTCCAGTTGAAACTGACTGATTCCATTTTAAGTCACACATGGATGACTGAAGGCCTGTTTGTAAAGTTCACATGCTGAACTCCTACAAGCTGTAAAACAGAGTTGATAGGTTTGTGATCCAACCTATTCCTATCACGGTGTATAAAATGGATGTTGTTACCTAGAAGAGAATAAGAATAAAACGCTGAGGCATAGTAAGTATTATTCACTAGATTTACTGCTTACTAAAATCAAGGAAGCTTTTCAACCTCTAATTAGTCCAAAGGGAAAAATTAATTACCTGGAGTACATTATATTCTCTATATAATGGCATAATAATTTTTAATCATGGTAATAAAGTATGACAAGGATTATGGTTAAATAAGAGTGATACTTAATGTTTTATGAGATCCAAGGGGAAAGATTTTTAAATTATAACCTTCTGTTAGGTTTTATTAAATATAATTAAATAAAATGTCCTGTCAGACAGGCAAAACACGGAACTCACATAGATATCAAGCTGGAAAATCACATCTGTTTCTTAAATCTAATAATAGAATAAACATCATCAGGGAACAAATCACTCACATCAAAAAATTCACTCCCAAATACTGATTTAACAGGCTATCTGTATTATAACCATAGCCCAAAAGAGGCTCTAAAATAACGCCTTAAAAGACAATCAGTTACAATACACTTATAGATGTCCACAATCCTTATCTGTTCAAATACAGATTTTATAATTTATATTCATACATTTACAATCTAGTTTGTTTCATTCTTGGGCTACAGACCAGAATTTTAACTTAAACTATCAGCTTAAGTAGTTATCACATGAGGCATGCTTCCTAAGCACAGTTGGCCCTCTGCATTCATGGGTTCTGCGTTCTCATTCAACAAACCACAGATTGAAAATCTTCAGGAAAAAAAGGATAGCTTATGTGTGCTGAACATGTACAGACTTTTTTTTCTTTGTCATTATTCCCTATACAATACAGTACAACAACTATTTACATTGCATTTGGTATTATAAGTAAACTAGAGATGATTTAAAATGCAGGGGAGGACGTGCATAGCTTATATGCAAATACTACAGCATTTATGTAAGACGCTTGAGCATCTCAGATTCTGGTATCCACTGCAGGTCCTGCAACCAATCCCCGATGGATGCCGAGGGATGACTGTATGGTCCCAGATTGGCACACACCTGATGCTCTCCATGTGCTCTTTATTCTTACACAACAGAAGGTGTGGACAAATGATTCAGAGACATGAAGATAAGGGACTCAAAACATCCCCCTTTGGGTCTGAGAATGGGAATAAGTCATCCAGAAATATGGCTAATGTCATTCTGGGCTAATGCATAGGACTCAATCTCATTTAACAGGGCCTCTTTTTTTTTTTTTTTTTTTTTTTTTTTTTGAGACAGAGTTTCACTCTTGTTACCTGGAGTGCAATGGCGCGATCTCGGCTCACCGCAACCTCCGCCTCCTGGGTTCAGGCAATTCTCCTGCCTCAGCCTCCTGAGTAGCTGGGATTACAGGCACGCGCCACCACGCCCAGCTAATTTTTTGTATTTTTAGTAGAGAAGGGGTTTCACCATGTTGACCAGGTTGGTCTCGATCTCTCGACCTTGTGATCCACCCGCCTCGGCCTCCCAAAGTGCTGGGATTACAGGCGTGAGCCACCGCGCCCGGCTAACAGGGCCTCTTTTTACAACTAATCTAACTGTTGTAAATTCATGAGAGGGAGGGAAAGGGAGATTCTGGCTATAATGTTCCAGCTGCAAAAAGCCCAAAAGCCTTATTACTCAGTCAAAATCCTCATTCTAAAAAAGTATGGTATTTATGAAAGTATTAATTTTATAACTCTAATAAGCTATGCTCATTAAGACAGTTTTAAAGAGGAAGAAAAAGCAAAAGGATGATCTCATAACACAGTGATTTAGGCTTTTTGGCTCCATCTGATATGGGTGTTTGTCCTTTGCTGCAATGCTGGAACACGGTAGAGATCAAACACTCAACACTTAGCAGACATGAGCCAAAGCCATCTCAGGTGGTCCACACCCATCAATAAAGTTGTTAACAGTGTGTGACTTATAGTTGGACCTCAATCCCATTCTTTTTTTTTTTTTTTTTTTTTAATACGGAGTTTCCTTCTTGTCGCACAGGCTGGAGTGCAGTGATGTGATCTCAGCTAACTGCAACCTCCACCTCCTGGGTTCAAGTGATTCTCCTGCCTTAGCCTCCCAAGTAGCTGGGATTACAAGCATGTGCCACCACACTCAGTTAATTTCTTGCGTCTTTAGTAGAGACAAGTTTCACCATGTTGACCAGGCTGGTATTGAACTCCTGGCCTCAAGTGATCCACCTGGCTCAGCCTCCAAAAGTGCTGGGATTACAGGTGTGAGCCACTGTGCCTTTTTTTTTTTTTTTCTTTTTTTTGAGGCAGAGTTTGATCTTGTTGCCCAGGCTGGAGTGTAATGGCACAATCTCAGCTCACCGCAACCTCCACCTCCCGGGTTCAAGTGATTTTCCTGCCTCAGTAGCTGGTATTATAGGCATGCACTATTATGCCTGGCTAATTTTGTATTTTTAGTAGAGACAGGGCTTCTCCGTGTTGGTCGGACTGGTCTCAAACTCTCAACCTCAGGTGATCTGCCTGCCGCAGCCTCCCAAAGGGCTAGGATTACAGGCAAGAGCCACCATGCCAAGCTCAATCCCATTCTTTTTTTTTTTTTTTTTTTGGAGACAGAGTTTCGCTCTTGTTACCCAGGCTGGAGTGCAATGGCACAATCTCAGCTCACTACAACCTCCGCCTCCTGGGTTCAGGCAATTCTTCTGCCTCAGCCTCCTGAGTAGCTGGGATTACAGGCACGCGCCACCATGTCCAGCTACTTTTTTGTATTTTTAGTAGAGACAGGGTTTCACCATGTTGACCAGGATGGTCTCGATCTCTTGACCTCGTGATCCACGCGCCTCGGCCTCCCAAAGTGCTGGGATTACAGGCGTGAGCCATGGCACCCGGCCTTCAATCCCATTCTTATAGGATAAGCTGTCCTTAGCACTGATTTGCTTGCTGACATTGAGTAAGTCTCCGAGTTCTGTTAGGTCTAAATAACTACATGGATTCTCTTTTTGGACCAAAAAAAAAAAGCATGTGATGATTTTCCCCTATTCGGAAATGTTCGTCTACACTGAACATTTTTTATTATCTTTTATTTTTATTTTATTTATTTTTTTAATTGCATTTTAGGTTTTGGGGTACATGTGAAGAACATGCAAGACTGTTGCACAGGTGCACACGCGGCAGTGTGGACTGCTGCCTTCCCCCCCTTCACCTATCTGGCATTTCTCCCCATGCTCTCTCCCCCCACCTCCCCACCCTGAACATTTTTAAATAGGGGAGTGTCACAGCCATAAACAGATCACCAACCCACAGGTGACTGTGGGAAATCATCCAGGCATGGGATGATGGGCACACTCATCAAATGCATAAACATCAAAGTACACAGAAGCCTTTGAAAACAAAACATTCCCTCCTACAAAAGCACTCCTGATTATAATGTTCAGATGTCCATTTGTACATGGTGTCTGCTTGATGAAGAAAGTGCTGGCCTCTGAACCTGTAAAAAGGCACAAGACGCCTACTGCTGAACCTGGGCTTTGATGCTCACCTGGACCTAAAATGAGGGTCCCACCTTGCTGAGCTGGGTCTCCTTGAAAATCAAAGAGAGGGCCGGTCACTGCCCGCCACAGGCTCTGAAGGCTTCCTGAGAGTAGATTTGACTTTACGTGGGGGCTCTGTCCTGAAATGTTGAAAACTGTCTTTAGATGTCATTTTATATTTGATTTAATATTAAGAAGATGATGTATTTCTAGAAAACATTTTCTTTCTTCCTTCAAAGAATGGTTTCTCAACCATTTACTATCAACATTTGGCTCAGATTATTCTTTGTCCTGTGTGATACAGGGTGTTCTGCAACATCACTGCCTTCTACACCTACTAAATACCAGAGGCACCATTTCCCAAGTTGTAAAAACCAAAAATGTCTTCAGACAATGCCAAATGTCTTCCAGAGAAGAGAGGAGTAAATGTCCCACTTAAGAACTACTGCTTTAAAGGAAAAAGTGATGATGGACCCAGATCACTTTCTGCCACAGAAAAATACCAACTACAGTCTTCTCAAATGAGCAGTGCTTTCCATTTTAGTTCCCTATTTATATATGCTCTGTTTAGTCTCACTTATTAATAGGCAGCTACACTCCTTTTCAAGAGCCATTGTAATACAGACTATTACTGTCTGGGCCCACAGCTAAAGTATATCTTCCAGTCTTCGTTGCAGTTAGGCAAGGCATGTGACTGTGTTATAGACAATGAATAAAATGATCTGTGCTGCTTACAGGCCAAACCCCTCCCACAAGTGATTCTCATGTTCCTTCTACATATTTGGAAGGCTTGAAGATGGCAGAGCACCTGGATCCTGGAATGACTGTTCAAGAGGAAAGGCATCCAAATAGATAAGCCATTCTTAAAATTTAAGATAAAAAGGAGTGGCCGGGTGCAGTGGCTCAAGCCTGTAATCCCAGCACTTTGGGAGGCCGAGGCCGGTGGATCACGAGGTCGAGAGATCGAGACCATCCTGCTCAACATGGTGAAACCCCGTCTCTACTAAAAATACAAAAAATTAGCTGGGCGTGGTGGCGCGTGCCTGTAATCCCAGCTACTCAGGAGGCTGAGGCAGGAGAATTGCCTGAACCCAGGAGGCGGAGGTTGCGGTGAGCCGAGATGGCGCCATTGCACTCCAGCCTGGGTAACAAGAGCGAAACTCCGTCTCAAAAAACAAAACAAAACAAAACAAACAAAAAAACCCAAAAAAGATAAAAAGGAGTAACCTCCTACCATGTCATGCTGCTGAGACACGGGGGGTTAGCTGTAACAACGGCCACTGGGGCACCTCTTCACTTTTCCTTGGCTGTCAGTCTTCTATTTCTGTTCTCACAGTGACTGATACTTCCACTTCGTTTGAGCAAAGAAACTCAGTCTCTTTACTCTCCTTATAATTCATTTTTCTTCTATCTCTGCCATTTTATGTCTTACACTTTTAGCTTTTTATTTTAATGACTATGCAGCCTTTGGCCTGCCTCATTTCCCAGTATTTCCAAATACCTATTTTTTTTTTTTTTGAGACGGAGTTTCGCTCTTGTTACCCAGGCTGGAGTGCAATGGCGCGATCTCGGCTCACCGCAACCTCCGCCTCCTGGGTTCAGGCAATTCTCCTGCCTCAGCCTCCTGAGTAGCTGGGATTATAGGCACGCGCCACCATGCCCAGCTAATTTTTTGTATTTTTAGTAGAGATGGGGTTTCACCATGTTGACTAGGATGGTCTCGATCTCTTGACCTCATGATCCACCCGCCTCGGCCTCCCAAAGTGCTGGGATTACAGGCGTGAGCCACTGCGTCTGGCATTTTTTGTATTTTTAGCAGAGATGGGGTTTCACCATGTTGACCAGGATAGTCTTGATCTCTTGACCTCGTGATCCTCGGCCTCCCAAAGTGCTGGGATTACAGGCTTGAGCCACTGCGCCTGGCCTCTTTTTTTTATTTTTTTTTTATTTTGAGATGGAGTCTCACTCTGTCCCCAGGCTGAAGTGCAGTGGTGGATTTCAGCTCACTGCAACCTCTGCCTCCTGGGTTCAAACGATTCTCCTGCCTCAGCCTCCCGAGTAGCTGGGACTACAGGTGTGTGCCACCACACCCGCTAATTTTTTTTTGTATTTTTAGTAGAGACGGGGTTTCACCATGTTAGCGAGGATGGTCTTGATCTCCTGATTTCGTGATCTGCCCACCTTGGCCTCCCAAAGTGCTGGGATTATAGGCGTGAGCCACCACACCCAGCCTGCAAATAAAGTTTTTTTTTTTTTTTTTTTTTTTTTTTTTTTTTTTTTTGAGACGGAGTTTCGCTCTTGTTACCCAGGCTGGAGTGCAATGGCACGATCTCGGCTCACCGCAACCTCCGCCTCCTGGGTTCAGGCAATTCTCCTGCCTCAGCCTCCTGAGTAGCTGGGATTACAGGCACGCGCCACCATGCCCAGCTAATTTTTTGTATTTTTAGTAGAGACGGGGTTTCACCATGTTGACCAGGATGGTCTCGATCTCTCGACCTCGTGATCCACCCGCCCCGGCCTCCCAAAGTGCTGGGATTACAGGCTTGAGCCACCGCGCCCGGCTGCAAATAAAGTTTTTTAAGTTCCAATAATTACAAGGAATTGTGGCAAAGGCAGAGAACACAGAAATATACAGAGAACATAAGATAATAAACATGAAACTCTTCAACTAGCTAGACTATCTGGCCCCCTTAAGTACAATACTAGAGTATATAGCAGGCATCCCCAAACTGTGGCCCCCTGAGGCCATTTATCCGGCGCCCCCCCCACACTTCAGGAAGGGGCACCTCTTTCATTGGTGGTCAGTGAGAGGAGCACAGTATGTGGCAGCCCTCCAGCGGTCTGAGGGACAGTGAACTGGCTCCCTGTGTAAAAAGTTTGGGGACACCCGGTATATAGGGACGCATTGGGAAGCAATGGCTTCTGCGTGAAGAGTGACTCAGAGCCCCTGTGAGTTGTGTGATTTCAAATGGTAAGTGGGATTTTCTCAATTAAAGGAGATGGAGTATTTAACATCATGGTACTGAGGTCTAAAAATACGCGAACTTAATATTACTTTCTGTTTAATTACAAAAGTAAAATGTACTTGTAAAAAATACAAAAGCCGGCCGGGCGCGGTGGCTCAAGCCTGTAATCCCAGCACTTTGGGAGGCCGAGGCGGGTGGATCACAAGGTCAAGAGATCGAGACCATCCTGGTCAACATGGTGAAACCCCGTCTCTACTAAAAATACAAAAAAAATAGCTGGGCATGGTGGTGCGTGCCTGTAATCCCAGCTACTCAGGAGGCTGAGGCAGGAGAATTGCCTGAACCCAGGAGGCGGAGGTTGCGGTGAGCCGAGATCGCGCCATTGCACTCCAGCCTGGGTAACAAGAGCGAAACTCTGTCTCAAAAAAAAAAAAAAAAAAAAAAAAAATACAAAAGCCAATTTTCTCACTCCCCTCCTCGGGGTAAACATTACCATATCTTTTAAAACCTATTTCATTACACACACACAATCTTTATGAAAATCATTTTTGTTTTCACAAAAATGGAAACATAATGAAAATACTTCTGCAACTTATTTTCATTCAATAGTGCTTTACTAACAGCTTTCCATGTCATCACACCCAGAAAATGAATCTTTTGGAGCCTGGTGTATCTAGACCACTTATTAGAGTAATAAAAACAGGCAAAGGCTGGGCATGGTGGCTCATGCCTGTAATTTCAGCACTTTGGGAGGCCGAGGTGGGTGAATCACGAGGGCAGGAGTTCAGGACCGGACTGGCTAGCATGGTAAAACCCCGTCTCTACTAGAAATAAAATTAGTCAGGCATAGTGGCAGGCGCCTGTAATCCCAGCTACTCAGGAGGCCAAGGCAGGAGAATCGCTTGAATCTGGGAGGCAGAGGTTGCAGTGAGCTGACATCACACCACTGTACTCCAGCCCTGGCAACAGAGTAAAACTCTTGTCTCAAAAAAAAAAAAAGCCCAGTTTATGAACTGACCATGTTTTCCTATGCATATATATATATATATATATAAAAGCCCAGTTTATGAACTAACCATGTTTTCCTATGCATATATATATATATAAAAAGCCCAGTTTATGAACTAACCATGTTTTCCTATGCATATATATATATATATATATAAAGCCCAGTTTATGAACTGACCATGTTTTCCTGTGCATATATACACAAATATAAAAATACAGCACTAGTGTTTTCTATTTGAGACATGCTATGTCTTACCTGAGGAGGCAATTTCTTCACCTCTTTTCATTCCCAATCTTTTATAAATTTCTCTCTCAGGATCGACATAGATTTCATGAGAATATCCAGTCAGTTTGCAAAAAGACTGAAAAGAGAGAACAGCTGGAATTTTTACAACAACAAATGAGAGAAAAGTAATGACAATTTAACTTCAGCCAATTTAGCCTACATTTATTTAGTGGTTTAAACAATGTCATTTTTCTGTCTGAAACAGATTTGATTCATTAGTCTCCCAATGTACTAGATACTTACCTCAATATGATGGTAGGATGACTGTCCAATCACTATCAAGGTCACGTCTGCTTCCTTAGGAGAAAAAAAAGGATGTGTATGTATCATTAGAAATCACGCGTGTTCCAGGCCGGGCGCGGTGGCTCACGCCTGTAATCCCAGCACTTTGGGAGGCCGAGGCGGGTGGATCACGAGGTCAAGAGATCGAGACCAACCTGGTCAACATGGTGAAACCCCGTCTCTACTAAAAATACAAAACATTAGCTGGGCATGGTGGCACGTGCCTGTAATCCCAGCTACTCAGGAGGCTGAGGCAGGAGAATTGCCTGAACCCAGGAGGCGGAGGTTGCGGTGAACCGAGATCGCGCCATTGCACTCCAGCCTGGGTAACAAGAGCGAAACTCCGTCTCAAAAAAAAAAAAAAAAAAAAAGAAATCATGCATGTTTTATACAACATCCCCTAATCCAACTCTTCTGTTTCATTCTTATGCCACCTATAGGCTTCTAGAGGAATAGAATAAACAGCAACATTGTGTGAGTCAATGCAAAGAAATGTATGGTAACATACTAATTCAGATGCTTTTGCTAAGTAGGAGTTTCAAGACTTACACGTAAGACCTAAAAGTAGAAAACTACTAGAAGAAAACTACTAGATGATGTGGATTTCAACAATGACGTCTGGAATGTGACCTCAAAAATACAGGCAACAAAAGCAAAAATAGACAAATGGGACTATATCAAACTAAAACGCTTCTGCACAGCCAAGGAAACAATCAAGAGAGAAGACACAGCTCACAGACTGAGAGAAAATATCTGCAAACTATACATCTGATAAGGGGCAAATACTCGAAATACAAAAGAAACTCGACTTAGCAAGAATCAACAGCCTGATTAACAAATGGACCAAAGGCCAGGCATGGTGGCTAATGTCTGTAATCCCTGCCCTTTGGGAGGACGAGGCAGGTGGATCACCTGCGGTCAGGAGTTTGAGACCAGCCTGGCCAACATGGCGGAACCCCATCTCTACTGAAAACACAAAAATGAGCTGGGCATGGTGGCACATGCCTGTAATCCCAGCTACTGGGGAGGGTGAGGCAGGAGAATCACTTGAACCCAGGAGGCTGAGGTTGCAGTGAGCTGAGATTGTGCCACTGCTCTCTAGCCTGAGGGGCAGAGCGAGAGGACAAAGGATATGAATAGATAGTTCTCAAAAAACAACAAACGGCCAAGAGATACGTGAAAAGATGCTCAAAATCAGTAGTCATCAGGAAAATACAAATTAAAACTACAATGAGGTATCACTTCACACTTGTTAAACAGCTCTCAATAAGATCCAAGATAAGTATTGGTGAGGATGTGGAGCAAAGGGAACTTTTGTACACTGTTGTTAGGAATGAAATTATGCCATTATGGAAAACAGTCCGGAAGTTACTAAAAAAATTAAAAACAGAACTCTAATATGATCCAGCAATCCCACTACTGGGCATTTATCCAAAGGAAATTAAATCAGTATGTTGAAGAGATATCTCCACTCCCATGTTTTATTACAGCATTATTCATGGAAGTCAAGATATAGAAGCAACCTCAGTGTCCAACAATGGATAAATACAAAGAAAATGGGGTAGCACAATGTAATACAATGCAATATTATTTGGTCATAAAAAAGAAAAGACATTTTTCTGTTATTTGTGACAACACTGGCTGCTCCTGGAGGACATCGTCGAAGTGAAATAAGTCAGGCACAGGAAGGAGAACGCGGCACGATGTCACTTAGATATGGAATCGAAAAAAGGAGTAGAGTGATGGTTACCAGAAGACCCGTTACTCAGGAATGAGAAATAGGGAGATGTAGGCCGGGCGCGGTGGCTCACGCCTGTAATCCCAGCACTTTGGGAGGCCGAGGCGGGTGGATCAGGAGGTCAAGAGATCGAGACCATCCTGGTCAACATGGTGAAACCCCGTCTCTACTAAAAAAAAAAAATACAAAACCTTAGCTGGGCATGGTGGCACGTGCCTGTAATCCCAGCTACTCAGGAGGCTGAGGCAGGAGAATTGCCTGAACCCAGGAGGCGGAGGTTGTGGTGAGCCCAGATCCCGCCATTGCACTCCAGCCTGGGTAACAAGAGCGAAACTCCGTCTCAAAAAAAAAAAAAAAAAAAGAAGAAATAGGGAGATGTTCAAAGGGTACAAAGTTTCAGTTAAACAAGAGGAAGAACTTTGAGAGCCCTACTGCACAGCACGGCAACTACAGTTAATAATATTAATACATAATAATACATATAATTAATATATACTTAAAATCGCTAAAAGACTAGTTTTTACGTGTTCTCACCACAAAATAACTACCTGACATGACGGATATATTACTTCGATTTAATAATTCCACAATGTAAATGCATATCAAAATATTACACTGTATGTCATAAACATATACGATTATATATGTCAATTTTTAAAAAGAGAATAAAAGGATATGCAGAGGAACAGTCAAAACATTGTCTTCCAAATGATATAGTCAATACTTCTCTATATTCTTCCCAAAGATGTACATTTTTTTTTTTTTTTTTTTTTTTTTTGAGACGGAGTGTTTCACTCTTGTTGCCCAGGCTGGAGTGCAATGGCGCGATCTCGGCTCACCGCAACCTCCGCCTCCTGGGTTCAGGCAATTCTCCTGCCTCAGCCTCCTGAGTAGCTGGGATTACAGGCACGCACCACCATGCCCAGCTAATTTTTTGTATTTTTAGTAGAGACGGGGTTTCACCATGTTGACCAGGATGGTCTCGATCTCTTGACCTCGTGATCCACCCGCCTCGGCCTCCCAAAGTGCTGGGATTACAGGCTGGAGCCACCGCGCCCGGCCCAAAGATGTACATTTTTTTAAGTAACTGTAGCACAGTTATTTAATTAACAATGTTGTTTTTTTCACATCCTAATTGATAAAGTCTGCTGAGAAAACATCTGTTTTATACAGGCTGACCAATGTCTTCACTCAAAAAGCTCACTTGGGCATAAATCTATCTGTGCCTGAAGAAAAACACTGTGGTCGTCTTAGAGACAAACTTGCAGCCTAGTAACATAAAAATTTGCACCTTTACGATTTATTAGTATTTTCCCATACTGAGCAGCTCTTTGGAGTATAACAAAAAATAAAGGGAATAAAATAATAACCACTTCCAGCATTTGTTTTAGGGCATTATCAGTCAACATTTGCGAACAGGCACCAGGTTACCAGGCAACACCACAACTGTGAGTACGTTCAGTTCACCAGCAGGCAGCACCCAGTGAGTCAGGGCAGAAATAGAGCTCTGACGTCTCTCCCCGCGGAGGGGCGAGGGCGGAGACGGGTGCGAGGAGGGGCTGGCCGGGTCCCCCCCGCCCCGCTCGGGTCTCCAGAAGCCCGCGCTGTGCCGCCCACGCTCGGAAACTCACTTGTAAGAAACTCTTGGGGATTCGGGCCAGATCCTCCACGTATTCCTTGCAGATGTAACACAGGAAATGCTGGAATCCAAGTCGGCAGAAAGCGCACGTTAGAAACGCGGCGCCCTCGGGCCCCGAAGGAGCCCCGGACTTCGCCGTGCGCGACCCGAGCAGAGGCGACCGGCGGCCCGGGCGCCCGAGCGTGGGAAGCGGGCCTCGCCCTCGCCCTCGCCCTGCCCCGCGCGGGCTGGGAAGCGGCCGCGGCTGGGCGGGCTGCCTTCCGGTTCCCGTCCTAGGAAGCAGGGGGCGCCGCCCGGCCTGGACCCCGCTCCCTCCCGCCCCGCCGCCCGCTCACCCGCACGAACACCACCACGGCGCGGCGCTCCCGGAACAGCGCGCCGAACGGCACCCGCCGCCCGCGGGCGTCCAGCACCGGCAGCTCGGCCACGGCGGCCGCCAGGGACTGCCCGCGCTCGGGGTCGCTCGGGGCCGGGACCCGGGCGGCGCCGCCGCTAACCTGCCGCGTGACCGGGCCGGGCGCGGCCATGGCGCGGGGAGGCCGAGGGCCCGGGCCCACTCCGCCAGCGCGGGGCGGGGCGGGGCGCGGGAGGCGGGGCGGGGCGCGGGAGGCGGGGCGGGGCGCGGGGGGGGCGGGGCGGGGCGCGGGAGGCGGGGCGGGGCGCGGGAGGCGGGGCGGGGCGCGGCGCGGGAGGCGGGGCGCGGCGCGGGAGGCGGGGCGGGGCGCGGGAGGCGGGGCGGGGCGCGGGAGGCGGGGCGGGGCGCGGGAGGCGGGGCGCGCAGGGGCGGGGCCTGGCCAGTCTCCGTTTTCGCGCCTTGCGCTGGCCTGGCGGCTCCCGGAGGGGTCCCCGCGCGAGGTTCTGACTCAGCTCTCGGGGTAGGGGACGGAGAGAGAGAAAGTCAGGGCCGTCCAGGGCGAGCCAGCGTTACTGAGGAAGAAAGCCTCCCGCGCCCTCCGTAGACACCTGGGCGGATGTTCCCACCTATTCGAGAACTAATGGGTGTATGTGTAAAAGTGGGTCACGGATGTGCCAACCTTTTGTACCGACACAGGCCATGCCGATAATCCCAGCACTTTGGGAGGCCGAGGCGGGTGGATCACGAGGTCAAGAGATCGAGACCATCCTGGTCAACATGGTGAAACCCCGTCTCTAATAAAATATGAAAATTAGCTGGGCATGGTGGCGCGTGCCTGCAATCCCAGCTACTCAGGAGGCTGAGGCAGGAGAATTGCCTGAACCCAGGAGGCGGAGGTTGCGGTGAGCTGAGATCGCACCGTTGCACTCCAGCCTGGGTAACAAGAGCCACACTCCGTCTCAAAAAAAAAAATAAAATAAAATAAATAAAAGGTGATCTGGGAGGGATGAGGATGATGAAGTTAGAGGGCTTAGCATCTGTTTTGTAGAAATCCCACACTTGCAATTCAGTTTTTCCTGGTGCGAGTAGGCAGGTACAGAGAAATCTGGGGATCCCCTCAGCCTTTGTGAGACCAAACTGGCCCCAGGTTTAGAGCTTGGTCTTTCTCTGGGGTTTTTTCATGGGTGCTAACCATGTGTCCAAGAGTTCCAGAGCAGGACCAGATAACATTCAAGCTCTTTGTCTTCATAAGTTTTCTCACCCTTGTGTATGGATTTGGGGTTCAGAAAGTACATCCTTTTTTTTTTTTTTTTTTTGAGACGGAGTTTCGCTCTTGTTACCCAGGCTGGAGTGCAATGGCGCGATCTCGGCTCACCGCAACCTCCGCCTCCTGGGTTCAGGCAATTCTCCTGCCTCAGCCTCCTGAGTAGCTGAGATTACAGGCACGCGCCACCATGCCCAGCTAATTTTTTGTATTTTTAGTAGAGACGGGGTTTCACCATGTTGACCAGGATAGTCTCGATCTCTTGACCTCGTGATCCACCCGCCTCGGCCTCCCAAAGTGCTGGGATTACAGGCGTGAGCCACTGCGCCCGGCGTATATCCTTTACCTATGGATTTGTCGAGTCGAAGAATATTTTTGGGGTGGAGTGCCAGGCAGGTCTAAGTGACTGACGTGACTCAGCCATAAAGTTCAGGAAACGCTGATCCTGCATCCGCTGGCTTTCACTTGTGTGAAGATTTTATGCTTTGTTGAGCACGAATTAAGTGCTCTGTTTGAGAAGCTCTGCAGTGCGTTTAGAACATTTTAAGCACAGATCTGTTTCTAATTCAGGATAGTTTCTTTCTGAGACAGGGTGTTGCTCTGTCACCCGGACTGGAGTGCAGTGGCATGATCATGGCTCACTGCAGCCTCTACCTTCTGGGCCAAAGCAGTCCTCCTGCCTCAGCCTCCCGAGTAGCTGTGATCACAGGAATGTACCATTTTCCCTGGCATTTTTTTTTTTTTTAAATAAAGATGGGGTTTCACCATGTTGGTCAGACTGGTCTTGAGCTCCCGACCTCAGGTGATCCGCCCGCCTTGGCCTCCAAAGTGCTTGGATTACAGGGCAATTTTTAAAAATTTTATTTTTTATAGAGACAGGAGTCTCCCTATGTTGCCCAGTCTGGTTTTGAACCTAGGCTCAAGCAATCATCTTGCCATGTTCTCTCGAAGTCCTGGGGTTACAGGCATGAGCCATTGGGCCTGGCGAGGAGCTTTATGAATTTTTGGAAATAAATGTATGACCTAGAATACAGTAACAGGCTGATAAACAGCACTGGCAACAGGCAGTTTGCCAGATGTGATCAATTTTGTTGTAAGCAGTGTTTTGGCAAGCAGAAATTGATATACAGATAAGAGTGGTGGTATTTTGGCAGCTCTAATTAATTGCTGACATCAACAAACAAAAAGTTTTCTGTGACATTACTGCTCTCAGTGTCATATTTCACATGAAATAAGAATTACAGGTTAGATGATTTCATTTTCAAATACAAAGAGCCATATGACTTAGTTTTGCAGAGTGATGAACTCAGACATCAGCAAAAAATAGTTTTGTAGAAGGAACAGTAGCCAGGCAGAAATGCAGAAATTAGAAAGTATTGTCTAGGGAGTGTCAGTACATGACTGAATGAGACACTGAGAGATGAAGTGCCTGTAACGGTTATCAGCTTATTGCTTCTCAATTCCCAATTAACCCTTCACTATAAGCTCTGTGACAATGGACAGATTTCCTCCAAGCATCTAACCTTTGCAATGAGCAAAGCCCCCGTGATTGCGGGGGCTGGCACATCTGAAATGTGTAGAGCAGGTGAGCAGGCTGGAAGAGAATGTTGCAGTCTTGAGTCCTAATTTTGCATAGCAAGTGGCTTGAAACATCTTGCAGTTTTGAAAAGTGCTTCTTTTTCAGGAGATCTGTCTTTGCTTAAGCCTTCTCTGACTGGATGAAAGTCACCTACATTATGGAGGGTAATCTGCTTTACTCAAAGATTTCAATGTTAATCATATCTAAGAAATATCTTTTTTTTTTTTTTTGAGATGGAGTTTCGCTCTTGTTACCCAGGCTGGAGTGCAATGGCGTCATCTCGGCTCACCACAACCTCCGCCTCCTGGGTTCAAGCAATTCTCCTGCCTCAGCCTCCTGAGTAGCTGGGACTACAGGCACGCGCCACCATGCCCAGCTAATTTTTTGTATTTTTAGTAGAGACGGGGTTTCACCATGTTGACTAGGATGGTCTTGATCTCTTGACCTCGTGATCCACCTGCCTCGGCCTCCCAAAGTGCTGGGATTACAGGCTTGAGCCACCACGCCCGGCAGAAATACCTTTATAACAACACTCAGACTTGTGTTTAACACATTGACTCGGTATCATGTCCTAGTCAAGTTGACACATAAAATTAATCATCAGTCTATCCCTTGTCAACTTGGCACCCATACACGTCCCCTTAAAACCATACTTAATCTCCATATAAAGATGATAACAAAGTCCTACTTCTGCCTAACATGATACAAGTACCTGGCATAGAACTGAAAACGCAATGGCTGGCTGCACTGGTTCAGGCCTGCAATCCCAGGGCTTTGGGAGGCTGAGGTGGGTGGATCACCTGAGGTCAGGAATTTGAGACCAGCCTGGCCAACATGGTGAAACCCTGTCTCTACTAAAAATACAAAAATTAGCCAGATGTGATGGCAGTTACCTGTAATCCCAGCAACTTGGGAGGCTGAGGCAAGAGAATTGCTTGAACTCGGGAGGCGGAGGTTGCAGTGAGCCAAGATCATGCCACTGTACTCAAGCCTGGGCAACAGAGTAGGACTCTGTCTCAAAAGGAAAAAAAAAAAAGAAGAAGAAGAACTGAAAATGCATTAATTTTCCCCCAGAAAAGGATCCAAAGTCCTTGGGTAATGTTCACTCTTCTTAATATTCTATAACTTAAAATACTATAACAAAAAATTGAGTATTTAAATACTCTGGTGTAAAGTTGATACATCCTATAGTATACAAGGGGATAAAAAAACAGAAAACGAAGATTTCACACACATAGACACACGCAAACACACAAACATATTCATAAAAAAATAAAGAAGAGATATTGACAGCAACTACTATTCTCATTTAGACAACTTGTCACATGTTTATGATACCTGATATTTATAAATAAATACCTTCTTCTATTACCCATTCCATATTCCCCTGTCCACAGCAAGCCCTTCAGCTGGTTATGTGGTTTTTTGCCTGGTAGGATGACCCAAACCTTCATTCCTGAAGCAGCTGAGCCATTTGTAGTCCTGCCTAAACCGGGTTGTTGTAGTTTTCCATGGACTTTAATCAGAGGGTATAGTAGTTCTTTTTTTTTCTTCTTTCTTTTTTTTTTTTTTTTAATTTTGAGACGGAGTCTTGCTCTGTCAGCCAGGCTGGAGCGCAATGGCACGATCTCGGTTCACTGCAACCTCTGCCTCCCAGGTTCAAGCAATTCTCCTGCCTTAGCCTCCTGAGAAGATGGGATTACAGGCGTGTGCCATCACACCAGGCTTAGTTTTTGTAATTTTAGTAGGACGGGGTTTCACCATGTTGACCAGGCTGGTCTCGAACACCTGACCTCATGATCCACCCACCTCAGCCTCCCAAAGTGCTAGGATTACAGGCATGAGCTACCGTGCCTAGCTAGGGTATGGTATTTCTTTCTTTCTTTCTTTCTTTCTTTTTTTTTTTTTTGAGACGGAGTTTCGCTCTTGTCACCCAGGCTGGAGTGCAATGGCGCAATCTTGGCTCACCGCAACCTCCGCCTCCTGGGTTCAGGCAATTCTCCTGCCTCAGCCTCCTGAGTAGCTGGGATTACAGGCACATGCCACCATGCCCAGCTAATTTTTTGTATTTTTAGTAGAGACGGGGTTTCACCATGTTGACCAGGATGGTCTCGATCTCTTGACCTCGTGATCCACCTGCCTCGGCCTCCCAAAGTGCTGGGATTACAGGCTTGAGCCACCGCGCCTGGCCTGGGTGTGGTATTTCTAAGAGACACCCCAAGGGATGTCCTATATCCCAGACATATTTTTCCTTACCTCTATTGTGAAGTCCAATGACCCTTCGTAATTGGGAAACAAATCACCCCAGGTAATAGAGTAACTCCCAGTTTTTACCTGTTGACTCAGGCAGGCAAAGTCTGCAATGGCTGCGG